TTCTTTTACTTTTATCGTTAGCTGAGAATATTATCATTACAAATTTACTATTAATTAAAAAAACGTTCAATGTAAAAGTTAGAAGCTTAAACTTTTTATATTATTTTCTACTTTTAAAAAATATAAGATTATGTATTTATTATAAAATGTTTTTACAACTTTTAATTTTACAACTTTATGTTTATTGTACTTCGGATAGATAGACGATCAAATTTCGTGTCGATTAAGATTAATAAAACTATGTATTCAAGTATAAGAGACATCGATTTACTCATTTATTAATATGAGACTCATATACAATAACTTGTACAGCAAGCAATATGACAATTTCAATCGACATCGCATGTTAAAAAGATTCGGGAACCGAGAAAATTTTTATTACATTATTATGTTATATAATTGCTAAAATTTTGTACAATTTAAAGCGCCAAGATTAATATTTTATAGTCGTAAAATGTAATCGTAATTTTCAATCTTACAAAGAACATAATTAATTATAGCTTTGTGTTTAATGATTACTGTTGAACTATTTCACAGATTAATATTTTATAAATTTATCAAAATTGTTGATTTGTTGTTTAAAAGTGTTTCATAATAGTTAACTAATCAATAATTTATTTTAAAGAATGTAAACGCTGACGATCGGTTTGTAATATATTTTTATATTAAAATCTCACAATTAGTGAGTATGGAATGATAAAAATAATCTGGGTTCAAAAAAAAATTTCTTATGTATTGTTGGTTGTGTATAAAAATAATCATTTTATCATCAATCATCTAATTGTCATCTAATTGTAATTCTTGCTTCAAGAGCTTTTAAATTTAGAAGTAAATCAAAATTATTATTAGATATTTCAACAATTTTAATTTTTGTTGCAACAGTACTATAAGTATAAAAATTAATCATTTTTAAGTCGTTATTAAGATTAAAGTTAAAAAAACATACATTACGTTTGACAAATTCATTTAGATTTTATTTAAAATTAAAATTAAAAATAAAATTAAGTTCGTAGATTCTGGGCCATCTACTAAATTTGAATTTGAATTTGAATTTGAATTTAATAATTAAAAAATTTGTATATTGTTTTTATTTAGATTGGGATGAAAAATTTCATTAAATTTAATTCGAATTTAGATGCATTTTTCAATTTTTTGAAAAACTGATCTGAAATTCTATAATTTTCCTTTTTTTGCTTACCGACCGAGAGAACTGCGAGTATTCCCCTTCGCCGTGGACCGCAGGCATGGCAGTAGTGGCGCTGTGGATCAATCGGACCAGTCGGGACCATCCGGGTACGGTACCGTCTTTACTATTTCCCTTTATTATTTTCCGCGAACGGAGAATTTTGACTCGCTCGCGCGACATCCGCGCGCATGCACTCACGTTCCTTGCGATGCGAGTCAGAGATCAGTACAATAAGAGGCTCAAGATCGCGAATCATAGTGAATTGCAGTCGGAGAGAGAATGAGTGTTTCCTTGGGGATGGGGTGGCGGCAGTGTTGCTGATTCACCGCGCAACCCTTGCCTAAGGCAAGATGTGAATCGGAATCATTTGTCATCAGCCACCGTCAAGCCATAATGCAATTCCGTCATTGATCATTGGTTTTCTTTGTATTTTCTCGCTTTAATATTGCCTACGATATAATTTTAATGCGTATTAATTATGATCAAGTTAAGACCTTTGACCTAATTTACATGATTGCTTATCATAATTACAACCTGTCGTCTGACACGTTTCAAGATCACACGATATTTTTATCGTGGAATCTATTTTACTTAAACGTATTTTAATCAATCTATCCAGTTTATATTTACAATATTTACGTTTCTATTCTGACACCCATTTTGCATTAATTTATCATACGCATCGTGAATTAACTTCAACAATAAGCTGATATTAATCAATTGCATTTTCATGTAAATAAATATTTTTACATAACGTAATGATCAATTTATTAATTAAGAAAATTTTACGATTTAAGATTCCAAGAGTTTAAGATTCCAAGAATATCTAGAAATTACACTGCTGGAATCGTGTGAGCTTTTTTTTTTGTTTTTTTTTTGTTTTTTTTTTTTTGTTTTTTTTGAAAAATGTGACGAAGATGTTAATGTATATACAGTTAGCTGTGTATAACTTTGAAATATTTGGAATTACTCATAAGATTCTTATTATGTATTCACAGAAAATGTGCGGCGACTACCTCAAAGTAATGCCGTGTCCATCTCAAAAAATTAAATAATGGATTAACGAACGAAATGAGTAAATAATAAATCATTTTTATTTCATTTTTTTACAATAGATGACATAGCGAATTGTATTTTGAAAGTAGGAAAGTTATCTTTATTCTTGTTTTTCACACCTCGGTAGATCGTTAAGTTTCCGTAAAAAATTAGTGGAGACCGTTCGACTTAATTACTTTAAGTCGTCGAAAGTCTGCTAAAAATAATTTAATAATCAAAGGAAATCCTTATTAATCGCTCTCATTGTAATACAACATTATATTGAAAAAAAGAAGTGTTTAATTGAAGAAAGAAGTGTTTAATATTAAAATGTTTTATTCTTGTCTCCGCTTTTTAAATATTAAAAAATGTTTTAATTTCTTTCAAACTTTTTCGATAAACAAACTCTATGTGTTTGGATTTAAAACACTAAAATTAACAATTTAAAATTAAAATATTTATTATTATTAAACGTTGTTATAAAGATGTCTTAAACGTAAACATTTTAAACACTATCGTATATTTAGTATATATGTTGCTCAATTTTATTTTCAATAGAGAGAGAAAGAGAGAGAAGGAAAGAGTTTGCAATTAAAATTAATGTCACACAATATTCTGTAATATCGACTTTTTCAAGAGATTATTATACATCGATTGCATTTGATGAATTATACGCACTGCGATAAGTAACATAAACATAATATCTTTGCACATTAGTAATTATAGATCAAGACAGAATTAATACTTCAATTTTTTTTATATCTGAAGCACGATATAAAAATTATGAAGATTAAAATATTCGTTATCGATATTTTTAAGTTTGTTTTTCAAGCTAAAATAAATGGATCTATAAAACTCTTTTAAATTTTATTTGTTTTGGAAGAAAAGAATAACATGTTTAAATTATAATAAAAAACATTATTAAATTCAATTAAAACAATATATAATATTAAAAATATGACAAATAATGCTAATATATTTTATGTGTACATTAAAATTATGTTGATTTATGTTAATAATTATTATAGAATTACAAGACATCATTATTCTTTTATTCAAATAAGATAGCAAAAAAATTTAAATCATGTGACTTCAGAATCTAAATAATGTTCAAATTAAAAATAAATACATACATTTTTTAATTTTATTTTACATTGAAACATAAATTTAAATATTCATAGCAATTTGTGACTCAATTATCTTAACACATTGAGGATGAATTAATTACTACAGTAAGTCAAGAGCATGATCGAATTAATTTATAAAAAAACTGTATTGCACCATTTCATGTTATTTTAGTCTTGATAGGTTCGAATAATTTCATATGATATATCTAAACCTTTCTGCTTAAATTTTGTTTGTCCTTGATGCAGTATTAAGCCAGGAAAACAGATTTATTATTTTTTTATCTTTTTGTCCATTTTGCATATCGAACCACGTTCCAGTAAATCATTGACATTTTTTGCCACATTATCGCTGCACCCACTTCTGTATAAATGATTTCGACTTTTTCATATATTTAGCAGTCGCTAATTGTGATATTTTTGGACCTTTCGGGTGAGTGCAGAGGAACACAGCGTGATGCGTATTTGGTACTCATGGCGCTTAATGTGATTCTCTTAAGAAAGTTCAATGACAACTGAATCTTTCTTGATAGTGCATCAAGGATAAAGGTGCTTTCTATGGATTTATGATAGATTTAGGGCGATATCTTTTATTAGCTTTGAGTAAGGCCGACCACGCTCTTACTTGATTTTACTGTAATTGTATATGATTGTATTTATTGATAATGACTCGACATACTATAGTATCGAAAGATTCAATTAATTATAGATTCAATTAATTATGGAAACATTAACATAATTATGAATTTCTGTTTCTTGTTTTTTACCTTTTGCTTTTTTCTCTTTTGCAACCGTTTTATCAACAATATATATTTTTTTGCTACGTATTTCTTGTTTCTTTCGAAATTCATTAAGTTTTATTTCGGGCGATGTAAAACCGAATAAGAAAAAACAAGATGTAAAAAATAATAAAAGGCAAGAAACAAAAAGCACATTGTAGAACATCAAAACTTTAGCCTTGATTTCTGTTTTTTTTATATACTGTATTATTAATAACCTGAATGTATATATTATAGAATATAATCTAGTTTAATCAAAAAGTTTCCGGAATTCATTCAGAAAATTCAAAATACAAGTTTATTCATCAAAAGTGATATTGTCCCCTTTAAAGTACTCTCCAGCGACTGCAACGCACTTATGCCAGCGCTTGATCCAGCTCTCGAAACATTTCTGGAACTCTATTATTGGTATAGCCATCAGAGCCATCTTCGATTTTTCCATTACCTCCTTTCGGCTGTTAAAACGCAGTGGTTTTTTGACTCGATCGAACAGAAAAAAATCGCAGGGAGACATATCCGGGGAATTCGATGGCT